TACAGTACACCCATCCATTCATTTATTCTATCATCACATCACTGATGGTACAATACACCCATTACATACCAGTACTTCCGTTGGTTTCATTTGAATCCTATCAATGTCAATGTTAGACTGTTGAGAATTCTCCTCCTACTTGCTAGCCATTTGTAATCATTCTTCTATTTGATAAGCACGTTTTGAGTGTATTTATAAGCGTATAAAACAATCAACAGCTGGTAATTGAAGGCAATAATGACGTCATAATTTAAAATTAAATTTTCCCAACTAATAATAYATGATAGATGAGGCTGTAAGCCGTGGGGATGGGCTCGGAAACTAGTAGTAAGTTTTTTTTTTTAATTTCTCAAAACTAAATCGTTATTCGCTTTGAAATCCAGTGCAAGTCATTTTGTATGGTCCCACAGCTAACAAGCTTTTCAATAGGTKGATTGGCGTCGGTTTGGGGACTTTCCTTATATTTCAAAATTTTTGAAACAGAGAAGATCTCTCTGATTAAATATTGTTCCAAAATGTATCTAAAGCATAAAAGAAAATATTTTATTTTCTATGAGCTTGAACATCAAGAAAGATGTCGTACTTACCCCCACTCGCCCTCCACCCCAGACTCTACTCCACCCCAACCCATCTCGCTACTTGCAAACCACGAAAAAAAAACAAACAACAACAACAAACGAACAAACAAACAAACAAACAAACAAAAAACGGGGTTTATCAGATGAATTTCCAATTTTTAAAATCAAGGATCCAATCAAAATGTCAAATTCTAATTTTTTTTCATGTGTGTATATTTGTTTCAGATGAAATTGCGTTTTGCATATGGATTGTCAAGTGTTATAAAAATTACTAGAACTAGCTACCTATTTGTTGACATTTCTTAGCCTTATCCAATCAATGTACTCAACACTGTCCAGTAATAATTCTCAGTCATCAAAGCACAAGCCATCTCAATAACTAAGGTATTGAAAAGATAAGTGGTTATCTCGCTTCTTTGATTTGATGTCATTTTGCAAGGTTTCCTTATTCGATGACATCTTTAATAGTTCATAAGGTTTTCTCTCACCGACACAGCTGAAAGTATCACTTTACGGCTCAATCTGGACGTGGGTTCTTTTCTTTTTGAGCTCAGATCCTGATGATTAACCCTGTTAAATCGTCTTTTCTATCCTATGAGAAGGTAAGAACGTCAAAGGTTCAATTTCACTGATTGTATTAAGGGAAAGTAAGTTTTCTTCGTYGAGTATCAGTTTATTGAGCTGTGATGTGCGAGGAAATAAGTCTGTATACTTCAAAGTAAATGAATTTACTGATAGATAGGTTGTAAAAGGCCAAGTAGTTCATCTCTACATTAGTCTTGCCCTGTAATTCTGACTCTAGGTGGCATGAAATTAAAGACAAATTCCTGTTTAAGATACAACATTCATTGTCGTTCTTATTGTTTTTCGTCAAAAAAGAAATTGAAAAATTTCAATCTGCAACGAAAAAAATATGCTATTCGTGGAAAATATTACCTGCACCAGCTGTTGGACCTACAAATTTTCTTTTTCATTATTTTTGAGTAAAAAGTGTCATTTATAGAGCCGAAGATTTGAAACTATGAGACATCGAAGAGACATTTAGGTACGTACAAAAAAAAGATGTTTTCTGATTGGTCGATTCTCAAGGACTAATGACTGAGAGATTTCTCATATGTTTTGGGTGTTCTGAGATGTGTATAAACGAAGATCAGATTTTGATACTTATATCTTATGTGTCTTTTTGTCTGAGAGCAGCTTCGTGCTCAGAAATGGATTTTATTGAATTTATTGAAATGGATATATTGCCAATGACTGGCGCATCTCTTTTTCCTTTTTCGACTAAACAGAAAACCAAATAGAGCCCACTACACATGCAGAGTAGGAATAGCGTCTGGAGATATGCAAA